AAGATCCAAGATGGCCTTTATTAATTCCTTGATGCTTGATTCCATTTTACCTATTCGGTCGTCTTGATCTTGATTTTGGTCAACACAGCAAATCTTTAAAGCATCAAAAGCTGAAGCAAGGTCATCCACATCTGATTTGGTTATGTTTGATTCTTCGTTTATGGATTGGGTGGAGTTCCTTACTACATATTCATTGTTCTTACTATATTTTTCCACCTTTAAAGCCCATTTTTTTGCATCATCATACATTTTGGGGCATTGCATTTCAACTCTTTCTCTGAAAGGTTCCCTTAACCCCTGAACATACTATTGTCTTTTTTCTAAACCTCTTACATTATTCTTCACAACTTTTGCACATGCATTGAACTTGTTTGTATATGCCTTGATAGTGTCATTTGATTTTTGCTTTATATTCTTTAACCGCTCCAACTTTTCTTCAACATCACAGGAGGCTTTAGCACCAGAGACAATAGCAGCTTTCAGATCGACCCACGTACTCTTGGCCTTTATTTGTTCATGTATCTAGGGCTTTAGGTCGTCAGAAACATGGAGCCTTATCACTTGTCTCATCTTGTCTTCATCCCAGTCCTTTGATGCACCCTACGCTTCATAATCCTCAAGAAATTCTTCAATATCTTTGTTGTCACGGCCATGATATATAGGCTTGGTTGAATTGGAAACACCCATTTGCTATTGTTAAGTTAAGTATTGCTTTTCGATTTTGTTTCGTTAATTGTTGTCACTTAAATATGCGTTTATTGATTAAAGTTTTTTTTTTTTTTTTTTTTTTTTTATCGTTCAGCAAAGTCCAACCTTTGGCTTTTGTTACGTCTTATTATTTCACGGCACTTTTTATTACAAGAATGTCTTTGATCTTTGTGCCCTGTACTTTATTTTATTACAGGAGCCAAGTTCTGGCTTGTGTTATCATGTTGGATCTTAACTACAAGAGGTCTTTCGATTTGCCCAGGTTCTACCTTGTCGCGCAGGTTAATAAATGGGGACGTTCCACTTAACAATCCAGCTCAATCAGTGGCACTGCAACTACAATGACATCAACGACACACACACACAATCACGAAACAGGCGGCCAGTGCTTTATTGTAAGATTTGTATGTATCTTTATTACGAGAGAGAGAGAGAACTGTCCTTTTGGCTTATTAAGCCTCTACTTTATTTATACAGAATTTTGACTCTTGTTAAACTACAAATTAATGACTACTTTGTCAATGCAAGATTGTGCACAAGCTATAATAAACTTTACATTAATGACGTCCACATTATGCAAAATAGGATCATACTATAATAAACTACTTATGTACTACCATTCTGATTTACCCGATTTATACTTATTACCCTGCCCATCATATTGAATTACCCAATCACATGGTCATGTGATATCATGAACACAGTTCACGATCAAAGTCCAAGCCTATAACGTCCAACATTCTACAAACATAGTATACAGGGTACTGGTCCACAGCACGACAATTATCCACTTCAGATTTAGACTGCACACCATGTACTAAATGCTATCTTAACTCAAACAAAGTTAAGCAAACATGCACAATTAACATTTTAGTAACTATTTGTACTAGCTTTTTAGGAAGAAAAACCCCTAAATTCAAATTCAATGCAAACTACTTGAATCTTATTTATTTAACAGCAATTAAACATCCTTTATGAATTCTTTATAACTATCCTACTATCAATATATCAAATTCAACCATTACAGAAATTTTTAAACTTAATGACTGTTCAAACAAACTCAAAGAAATATTCTAAAACAATTTATCTTATAAGGAATTTACTTTTTATACAGATAGATCAGTAACTGATATTAGAACTGAACAAAGCTCAATAGGCATTAGATGGATTCAAATTGATAGTAACAACCAAGTTCTTCATAAATTTTTAGCTAAAATTCATTTTTGGCCATTAGCTTATAAGGCAGAGCTCTTTTCTATCCTATCTGCTATTTTAACTGTACCTCATAATGCAACACTTCAAATCTATACTTACTCACAATCAGTCATATCTAAATACTACAAACTCTCTATACAACTCAATAATCCTAACAAACTGTTTAAATTAAATATATAACTATTATGGCATACACTTCTTAATATCATCAAATCCTTCAATTTAAATATCAACTTTTATAAAGTCCAAGCTCATACAGATATATCTTTAATAACATAGCTGACTCTTTAGCAAAACAATATACCTTCTTCTTGTCTTTAAAATTTCAATATACAAATGTTTATAACTCTTTTTATATTTTACAATGGTAACAAAATCTTGTTGAGTTTCCTACTTGATACTTTATCAAAAATATTTGCAAAGCTTATATATTGGCAATGTGGTCTTTACAAAAAAGAAACAATGAATGGTCTCATATTAACCACTATATAGACTGGCAATCAATATGGCTATATCTCAATCATAACCAAAAACTCTTATTCAACTTTACTAGTTTCAAACTCAAACAATCCAAAGTCTTTAAAATCAAAGCTCTACTGAATGAATTACTAACATACTTTTCTTTTCACAACATTTATTCAATTATCTTTACAAATACTAACTGCTTTCAATATAACCTTCCTGACTCTCACTTATACTGGGTAACTTGTCTCAACTTTTCTCTTATAACAAACATTATTAATTCATCAATTTAGCACATTTTATCTAAAGCAAATCTTAACTTATCTACTAGCTAACTTTATGAACTTATTCAAAAAGTTCAAAAACATTCTTCTTTTAACTAAATACTATTTCAAGCAAACTCTTTCTATCTAGATCTTACTTTAAAGGCCTTATACCCAAAGCTTTAATTGAAATAATTCATAACTACAATATACAGTACCAACTAAAATAGTTTTACAAATTATTATTTAAACACTCCTTAATATTAATGATCAAATTTATAACTAAATATGAAAACCATACTGCATTGACCTCTCTAACTGGAAAAAGAATAACAATATTACATCTTTTCAAACTCATAATATTCACAATACTTTACAACAGATACAACAAACTAGACATTACAAAAGATTACATACAAACTATACATACTCATGTCTATGTGGAATAGCAGATCAATTACACTTACATCCTAATACTTGTCTACCAATTGGATAAGCTATTATGAAAACTAATATATAGTTGACACTTTAAATTAATCATAGCACATCTTATAATCATATTTTAACATTACAAATCTAGGTGGGCCTTGACCACCATAGTTGGTTTAGGTCACAGATAATGTTGTCTAAGCCTTAATTCTTGCATATAGTTTTTATTTTGTATTTTATAATCTTAGTATATCTTTAATATATAGTATATTAATATGTATAACTAAAATTACTAATAAAGATATGAGCAAGGCCTTATCTTAATATCAAAAAAAAATATATATATACTTAAATACTTTTGGTTACAAATTACAATCTTATTGAACTACTAATTTTAAACTTCAAATATTCAAATTATTACAAAAACATTTATTGTCTTGATATATATAGATGATACTCTTTGAGTTACTTTATTATAATCTAAACTATCATACATATTATCTATAGCTGAATTCTTTTATGTTATGGCCAATATCCAAGTCAATCTCTTAAAATTCATTCTAGTTATTAACAATCCTCTATCTTATTATATATCTATTTTTTATAACAATTATCTTTTTCTTTTTTACTCTTCTAAACTACCTTTTAAATTTTTAGATTGTTAGTTTATTTTGGACAACAAACAATTTAAATAAACAAAACTACTTATTTTTGAATTCTCTTAACTAATCTAAATTATTAAAACCAAATGCATTACTGACTTATATACTTATTATATTATTAACACAATAATTATCTCTACTCTTAAATACTAACTTCAAGCTATTGTAATTAACCAATCTATTTACAATAAAATTTTTATTTAGCATATTAGTTTTGTTAAACTTAAAGCCAAACTTTGCTATATAATACCTTCTAGTACCCTTTTACATTTATAAATTTATAATATTAAACATATTTGAAATATCTAACTACAACATCATAGTTTTAATCTTTTAAATAACTTAATAATCCTAATTTATTAGGTATATTTACTTATCAGATATAGATAGAGTTTAGGGCACAGTGGCATGCCTCAAATCCAAAGGGCATGCCCTTGCTATGTGATGTTTAAAGTTATTTTAATTGACCAATAAGTTCAGGTAAACTAGATCTGTAGATACTAAATTAATATATAAGATTTTTAAGAAATTGTGAACTATGTGTTAATCACATGATTTAAAAAAGGTATGCCTATGGGCATGAGGAGCATGCCTTAGCTTAGAGGCATGCCTATATGGACATGCCCAATTTTTTTCCCATGTCCTAAACCCTAGATACAGGACATGTCCCCTTAAAATGTGTCAAAATGTTGTTTATAATTAAAATTTTTAAAAAAACATATGAATTTACTATGTAACTTTGAGCTAAGATCTTTTTAAATCTAACTTATTAACTTAAAATTAAAATTTACAGTTATATAAAACAAGAAAAGAAGAAAAAATTAAACTTAAAAATCAAGTTAAAATTTTGCTAATTTTGTACAAATTAAAAATATAACTTTGCCAAAAACAAATATTTACTAATTTTAAATTAACAATTATATGTAAAATTAGTAAATATTTGTTTTTGGCAAAGTTACATTTTCAATTTGTACAAAATTAGCAAAATTTTAACTTGATTTTTAAGTTTAATTTTTTCTTCTTTTCTTGTTCTATATACTGTAAATTTTAATTTTAAGTTAATAAGTTAGATTTAAAAGGATTTTAGCTTAAAGTTATATAGTAAATTCATATGTTTTTTTAAAAATTTTAATTATAGATAGCAATAAAAGGGACATGTCCTAAGTCTGTTATATTTAAATTTAATAATTACAAACAATCTTTGGTCTTTAACTAATATTTTCTCATATCTTAATTCAATTATTGATAATCCCAACTACTTAACTATAAACTTTAAAATTATACAGCTTATTAAATATATTGGCTGAATATTCTTAATTAATCTAACTTATAACATTTCTTACATCTTAAATAATGAAACCATCTTTCTTAAATTTCTTTTTTCTTCTTATTCTAAATACTCTATTTTTAAAAAATAACTTAGATATCATAAACTTCTCTTTCTTGACCAACTTACCATCTATAATAATTTATATTTATTACATTATCAATATATTTCTTTTAAATTAAACAAACTTTCTAAAAGTATTATATCTCAATGATTTACTATTTTTAAAAATATTAATACAAGTCATTCTTATTAATATAATTTATATAATTACTTTAATTTATCTCAAGCAAACTATTTTTTTTGTACTACTAATCACTTTAACTTTAATACCAAATTCTGATTACTTACTGTTCTCAACAATCAAATCATTATTGGCAAGACCAGATAGCATAACAACTTTATAGGCCTTATTTTTATTATTTACTAACACTACTCATTTCAGTCATAGTTTTTTAACCTTTATTCTACTTCTATTTCTATTACTACTATATGACCTAAATGCAATCTTAATTTCAATACAAATGCACTATTTTTATTCTTACAAATCTGGTTACTAAACTGGGTTCAAATTGATAACTTTGCAACTACTTACTTATTTTAGACATAAGTTAAACTTTAATTATACTTCTTTAAAGATGAAATTCTTATTATTCTTTTAGCAATTATTATTGTTCTCAGAAACTGTTCTGTTTATATCTTATTAACTCATAATCTGCTATCTTCAAATATTACAATATTTGTTTATTAGCATTTAAACTCTTTTATATTCATACTTCATATTTTTTATTTGACAAACTCACTTATACAATATTTAATTCACTTTTACAAAGTTACTGTATACCAAGATGACTTATTTAATAACCTTGCTAACCAGCTTGCTCATAGTTACCAAATATATTCTTTTTAATATTCTTAAATAATAACCCTTATAGCTTTGTTTATATTCCATTTATTAAGTAATTTTCTATTGAGATTTCTATTTGA